GTGCTCCTTCTGGGGTAGTTTGTCCACCTTTGGTCCCCACCCTGCACTCAGCTGCCACCTGTGGCATGTGACAGCTACCACACCCCAAGAAACAGCCTCCAGGTGAGGGAGGTCTGAAGCCCTCATTGAGTTAGGGACTTCCCCTGCATGCAAAGACAGGCTCCTGCAGATTGAGTGAACGAGAGCACTAGGGGGTCCAACGGTCAAGAAAGTGGTTTCTGCACATGCTGTAGAGGGAAGTGAGGGGCAGGTGGGGCTCATCAACCTGGGAATGTAGCCCATCTAGGAGAAGGAAAAGTCTGATCCTAAACCTTCCATGCTTCATGAGAAGAAATGGCTAAGGAGTGAACCCCACACAAATCCAGAGTGGTGTCCTTAAGATGGTGCCTTGTATGCCTCCTTCCAGCAACTCCTGCAGCCAAGCTAGTGACAAACATATTGTAAGGCCGAGAGAGGGGTTTTGTCATCTGGACAATCCAGGACCTCCATACACACTGCCCTGGCTTGGACCCCGGGGAGCTCCCTTTGGTGCTAACACAGAGGTCTGTCTTCGCCCCCAAAAGTGCACTCCATTGTCTCTTGAGACAGATGGATTCCAATGCACCTACTCATGCGCCCCTCTCTGTCCTCTGAAGCATTACCAGAGATCAGGGACATATTCCAGCCAGGCAAAAAACTCTCAAGGAGGGTGCAAAGCAGGACCAGCCAAGGGTCTGGCTTGGGAGGATGTGTGACCAGGGGAGAGACCCATGAGCCAGAAAGAGAGGCCTAGAGGACTGATTTGGCTTCCAGGCCTGGCCTGGCCTGAGGTTTCCTACCCCTGTAGCAGGGTGTCTAGAATTATGCTTCTGTCTTTTCTCCCACCAATTCTACAACCAAGACCTAATGCAGGAGGAAAACAGGGAAAAGGCCACAGCTCAGGGGCAGAGCACCTGCTTGCCATGCAGAAGGTTCCAGGCTCATTTCCCAGGATCTCCAGGTAGGGGGATCTCTGAAAGCTTGGAGAGCCACTGCCAGTTAGTGTAGACAGCATTGAGTTAGAAGGATCAAAGGTCTGACACAGTTCAGCTTCCTATGTTCCTAAGACAAAAGTCTTCAAACTGTGAAAACTCACTTTATATCTGTAACATGTATGGCAAGTGCAAAACTCTCAACGTGGGGGTTAATATATCAGCAGAGTGAAGAAATAAGTAACAGAAGAGACACATAAAAACGCAGTAAGAGCTGTGCTGGATGAGACCAGGTGGTTTATCTGTTCCTACAGTGTCCAGCCAGATGCCTCTAGGAAGCCCACAAACATGAAGGCAGCAGATCTCTCTGTTTCTCGTCCCTAGTAGGGAGCAGTCAATATGCTACACCCCCTGAAGCTGGAGGCTGCATGTAACCACTGACATACAAAAGACTTCTTTTCCCACCAAGTTGTCTAAGATGCTTTCAAAGAAATCTAACCGCATCCCTACAGCAAATGCTGTAGTTTCAACTGTAGTGTTTCAGAAAAGCCCTGTTCCGATGTGAACCTACGTGCTGTCTGGGACCCTGGCCTCCTGCTGCGTAATAGATGTCCTTGGTTTTGTCCTTAGCCACTTTCCCAGTTTAATCACCTCCCCCCTTTGGATTTGGATTTGATATCCCGCCTTTCACTCCCTTTAAGGAGTCTCAAAGCAGCTAACATTCTCCTTTCCCTTCCTCCCCCACAACAAACACTCTGTGAGGTGAGTGGGGCTGAGAGACTTCAGAGAAGTGTGACTGGCCCAAGGTCACCCAGCAGCTGCATGTGGAGGAGCGGAGACGCAAACCCGGATCTCCAGATTACGAGACTACCGCTCTTAACCACTACACCACACTGGCTCTCTTTATAGCAGCCCAACTAGTCTGAATTGCATGGCTGTTTCATAACAGAAATTTTGTCATTTAAAACAGTGGAGATGTACTATGAATAGATGTTTCCCAAGACTCTACTCAAGGATGAATTTTGAGATATCCTAGTGGTTGGTTTCTTCTTTGAAATTCCTGCTGGCTGCATTAGGTATTGCAACAGCCTACATTTTTAGAGGAATTATCAGTGCCTTCTGCTGCCACCTGCTGGACCAAGTTGCCTGTTTTTCAATGCTACTCTTTGTTTTTTCCCTTTTTCTACACTCTTAATTTTTGTTCCTTTGCAGAGCAAACAAGCAACTCTGGCTTGCTGATGGCATCTTTTGGTTAACTGTGAGCCATGTCAAATGATTCAGATTTCCCTGTCTTTCTCTGGAAGACATTTTGAACTCAGCAGTGCCTTTGTTATTTTGTCTGGGGTACTGTTTTCTTGCAATTGCTATTGCTGTTTGTTAATGTGATTAAATGTGGTTGGCTGGCTGTATCTCATCTCACCGCCCCCTCTCTCTCTGTGTGTGTAAAAAAGGAATGAGACAGGTACCCAGACATGCAAACAACTGGGGTCCCCTGGTTCCTCATCCCTGCACTAAATAGCTGTGTTTTGAAAAAGCAGAAATTAGCAGGAGAAAAGGAAATAAACTGTTGGACCCATTATTGAGTAAAATGAAAAGAGCATGAAAGCACCAATATTGTTCACAAAAAACAAAACAAAAACAAATTAACACCACCGAGGAAGGTTTGCAGCACTCCAGCAGACCCCAACGTCAGCTCCACGTTGGGGAGACTCCTTGGGCAAGACACCCTCTCCATGCCCCCCTCCTTGTCCTCCTCCCTAGTGCAGGGCCAGGGAACTCTTCTCAGTGGGGACTCTGCAGGGACATGGACCCTTGGCAACACAGGAACCAGCTCCTAGGGGCCGTGGAGGCTTTGGCCCCCACAAAAAAATTTGAGGCTCCCCCCCAAAGTTGATGAGAATTGTCATTCAAACGGTGTGCGTGCACTGCAACATGTGATTGATTATGTGGGGCGGGGCATACCTGCCCCCAATATTTTATTCAAGTTGTTCCCCTGCTCGGCAAATGATCCAACATACCGGCTGTTGATGCCAGCCTTCGGTCACCCGCAGGGAATTCTGAGACTACTTCCTCTTTGACTGTATAAGAAGTCACTGTCCTGAAGGTCAGAGTTGTCTGTCCACTAACCATAGTTGATATTAACTGATCTGTCAGAGGCCACCAGACACCTGGGGCTCTTGGGGCACTTGGCTCCCTGCCTTGCAAGTGAGCAAGAGAGGGCAAGAGGTCAGAGAAAGCAGTATCTGTGCATTTTTCAGCAGCACCACATCATTCAGTCCCACTGCCCTGAGGATGTGGTAACAGTGCTGCACCTTATCCTAAAAGGTACTTATTTTCTTTTTCAAAATAAAAAGTTTTTTTTTTTGAGAGAGAGAGAGAGAGAGAAAGATAAACCAGCCTACCACATCTTATTGATGTATGTTCTAAGCTGCATACATAGTTTAATAAAGAGGTCGCAGCAACTTCCTGTACCTACTATCCCAGCAAAGTGAATGCCAATTGTTTGGAAATATATCTAGATCTTCTTTGTTTGGTGACTCATCACCACAATAGAGAAATGAAATCTTGTTAACCGTCTTAATCAAAACAGATGACTCACATGCCACAAGTTAGGCAACTTTTCTTTGGAATCAGGGGGTGGGGGAGTTTCTGAGTCTCAGCCAAACCCACTTTTCCTTTCAGCTGAGCAAAACTGAGCAGCAGTTGCTAAATTGTGAGGTCGAAGTTCTCAGTTTCTTATTCCCACAAACGTTTGAAACAGAGCCGAATAAGGAGCATCAATAAGGAACTGAAATTTGTCCACCACGTGATGAATGTGAGCATATACCTCATTGAGTTGCACTGCTTGCAATTGTCGCAAAAAATATCCAGTTGATGATTTGGAACGAAATGTGTGCCGTTTGCAGAGGTGACACAACAATTTGAACAAATTTAAATTGGGAGCAACCTCAAGATGTTTTAATTAAATTAAGGTTGATTTAAATTTTGATTTAATTTTAATTGTCGATTATATCACAGAATCATAGGATTGTAGACTTGGGATACCAAGGGTCATCTAGTCCAACCCCATGCAATGCAGGAATCACAGCTAAAGAATCGCTGACAAATGGCCATCAAACTTCTGTTAAAAAAGGAGGTTTCATTGTCGAGCAACTTTTACCATCAGAGTTCTTCCTAAAGTTTCGTAGGAATCTCCTTTCTTGCAATATGAATCCATTAGTTTGGGTCCTACATTCTGTAGCAGCAAAACAAGCTTGCTCCATCTTCCATGTGACAGCCCTTCAGATATTTGAAGACAGCTATCACAACACCTCTCAGTCTTCTCTCCTCCACGCTAAACATAACCAGCACTATCAACTGTTGCTTGTAAGGCTTCGTTTGTTTTATTTTATTGTACTTGCCATGGCCTCTGGCTACAAGCAATAAATATTTATCATACCACACTCTGTATCATTTCCCCTTCAGATCCACAATTCCAATTAAAACTGCCACTTTTTGCAACATTCTTTGACATCTTTGGTAGCCTCATTTGCATGCAGCAACACTATTCACAGGTTTCAGCTTTTATAACTAGGTGAGGAAGTGAATTCGTATGCAACTAATTATCTAAAATGCCCCTTTGAAGCATAAATTGCATTGTGTTTGAACTGTCCCACTGCAACCTGCTTTCGGTGCAGCAGAATCATGTATCCTAACGTGTGTGCCTTAGACTACCAATTTCAAAAGCTCTCTTAACATCAAGAAGAAACCAGTTCTGTCTCATAACACTCTTTGATCAAGAGCCACAAGCATTTTGTCTGCAGAGTGTGACAAAGCAGTTGTAGAGAGAGAGAGAGAGTTCGATGTCAGACTGTTTTCGGGTTCCTCCTCCTCCTTTTTACAGTTTGCACATATTTTACTGCACCCTGAGTTTGACAACCAACAATACATGAAAGATGGGAAGGCTACATTAGCAGAGGGTGCCAAATTGGATGTGTTTTTAAATGCTCCCTTTTTATTATTTATTTTTATTTAACAAAATGTATATAACACATGATTGTAGCGAAATCCCTAAACAGTTTACAACCAATATTAAAATTATCAACAAAAACAGTTAAAAACAATAAAAGACAATAAAAATTAACAGTAAAAGAAATTAAAACATGACAACACATTTTAAAAGGGCATAGGATGTAAATCAGACCAACCAAAGGCCTGGTTAAAAAGGAACATTTAAAGGTGTATAACAAAGGCGCCAGGCAAATATTCCTGGGGAGAGCATTCCACAGACGAGGAGCCACTTCAGAGAAGGCCCATTCTTGTGTTGCCACCCTCCAGACCTCTCAAGGAGGGGGCACACAAAGGAGGGCCTCAGAAGATGATCTCAGGGTCCAGGTAGGTTCATATGGAAAGAAGCGGTCCTTGAGGTGTTGTGGTCCTGAGATGTTTAAGGCTTTATAGGTCAAAACCAGCACTTTGAATTGGGTCCAGAAATTAATTGGTAGCCAGTGCAGTTGGACCAGGATCAGTGTAATATGCTCAAACCGTCTTGCTCCGGTGAGCAACCTGGCCGGTGAGTAAAGTATGCCTTCTTTGCTGCCTTCACTGTTACTAGGTAGGCTTGATAATGAGCCCTTACCAGTGTTCGGTTGCATTCATTCAGATCTTTCCTCCACAAGCCGTCTCCCAGCTTGTTTCCTCGCCCTAAGCTCTGGAGTGTACCAGGGGGCCAATGGGGTTCCACAAAGTGGGAAAGGGTGCTCAGGGGCAATCGTGTCAATAGCCAGAGCCATTTGGGTGTTCCAGAGGTTGACCAGCATCCCCAGCAAGGTTAGTCAAGGTTTCAGGCCAGAGACAGCATAGGATTCCCATGAACTGTGTTTCGGTTCCCTGTCTTATAAAAGGACACTCAGCATCAAAGCTTGGGCTCTGCATAGGAAACTTTTTGTCTCTGTCTTCTTGGCCATGTTGGAGGTGCTTCCAGAGGGATAGAGTTGGTCAAATCTTTCAGGACCTTGTGCTCTGTGAAAAGTCAGGAATTTGTTATAAGAAAAACTGCTCCCTTTCCCTTATGGGGTATTCCAGAGCCCGTATAGAGTCCTTAAGTGGGTTTCCTATCGGCAGGAGAAAATAACATAGGCCAACCAGAGTATATTGAGAAGCAAAGCGGCTCGTAAGCCTGATCTTTATTAAAGAAACAGTTGCAACAGGGTCCCCACTCACCACACGCTAGAAGAGAGCTCGCTAGGCTTCTAGCTGGGTTGATAATTAACTGTTGATGTTCTCTGCTAGCCTTCACGTAAGTTGCTCATTCATTACATGCCATTATAAAAATGCTTCTTCCTGCCCATGCATTCATTGCCTGACTTAAATGACAAGGAAAAACATCCCTTCAAGAGGCTGCAGGAACTGCTTCATCAGATGTGTAATTGTGTTTTGCTTGCAGCTAACACAAAAAGCTCACATATAGATTCATAATGCTTTAAACTCCAAAGCAGAGAAAAATAGCATGCATCAGAACTATGACATAGTCATATGTTCTTTGCAGGTAGAATAGCCAAAGAGGGGGAAACACAGCTCTGACTGACTCTTTGGTGGCCTGTCCATGTCAACTGCCAACCTAGCAGTTCAAAAGCACACCAGTGCAAGTAGATAAATAGGTACCGCAGCGGCAGGAAAGTAAACGGCGTTTCCGTGCACTCGGGCACTTTTCACGATGTCCCATTGTGCCAGAAGCGGTTTAGTCATGCTGGCCACATGACCCGGAAAGCTGTCTGTGGACAAACACTGGATTCCTTGGCCTGAAGAGAGATGAGCACCACACCCCATAGTCGCCTTTGACTGGACTTAACCATCCAGGGGTCCTTCACCTTTATCTTTTACCATGTCAACTAGTTCCCCAGTGTCCATGGCATAGTGCCCATCTGGAATTTCTGTATTTGTTGACAATTATATTGCATGATTTTTAGCTTGCCAATTCTGAGATGGAAATAATTTCACTGATACTGGCTCAAAGATGCAAGCTGCCCAATGTCTTTGTATTTCACAACCATCCTGTGATCCTAGCCATGTGGTCCTGCACGGTAATGCTCCACAAGTAGGCAGTAAGATCTGGTGTCACTTGTCACATGATTCTTCCTGGCATGGGGTCATTATGCTTGTAGTACCACTTCTGCTTGCGCAGCGAAACTTCCCCACCCTCTCTTCCTGCATGCAACAACCCCAATCCACTCTAGGGGGTTCTCCCAACCCTCTGGAGCAGACTTCGGAGAGAGAGGGAGCGGGGAGGAGGCAGAAGAGGAGACATTCAGTTGCTTGAAAGGAAGTCATTTTGTGGGTGCATTGACTTCCCTGGATACAACCCATGGAAATTCCCCATGACATGGGAAGAAGCCACATGAGAAGCCATGCTTGACATAACACCTAGAAAGCTGCCACTGTGAAGCAACCCTCCATGTGAATAAAGTAAGATGTAGACTAGTCTTTAGATGAAGACAGGTGGTGTAGTGGTTAAGAGCGGTAGTCTCGTAATCTGGGGAACTGGGTTCGCATCTCCGCTCCTCCACATGCAGCTGCTGGGTGACCTTGGGCCAGTCACACTTCTCTGAAGTCTCTCAGCCCCACTCACCTCACAGAGTGTTTGTTGTGGGGGAGGAAGGGAAAGGAGAATGTTAGCCGCTTTGAGACTCCTTAAAGGGAGTGAAAGGCGGGATATCAAATCCAAACTCTTCTTCTTCTTCTGTGACTATGTACAATCATATAGGCTAGGAGCTGGTCAACATGGTGCTCCCCAGATATTGTTAAACTACAACTCCCATCAGTCCCAGCCAGCATGGTGAATTGTCAGGGATGATTGTAGTCCATCAACATATGGAAGGCACTGTTTTGTCTACTCATGATATAACCCAACTACCTGCTGGAGAGGATTTCATTAGAAACATTTGTGAATGTTCATTCATGTGTTGTTGTTTTTTGTAAACAAAATCATCCAGGCAAGCCTTAAATGCATTTGCCCTCCAAAAATACCTAGGCATGAAATTCAGCTAAATCTGGCCAGGTGTCAGCTAAACTTTATTGGATATGTGGGAGTCACAAGCGTGAAGAAATACACAAGACGGTAAAAAGGTAAAGGGACCCCTGACCATTAGGTCCAGTCGTGGCCGACTCTGGGGTTGTGGCGCTTATCTCGCTTTATTGGCCGAGGGAGCCGGTGTACAGTCATGTGGCCAGCATGACTAAGCTGCTTCTGGCGAACCAGAGCAGCACACGGAAACGCCGTTTACCTTCCCGCCAGAGTGGTACCTATTTATCTACTTGCACTTTGATGTGCTTTTGAACTGCTATGTTGGCAGGAGCAGGAACCAAGCAACGGGAGCTCACCCTGTCACGGGGATTTGAACCACCGACCTTCTGATTGGCAAGCCCTAGGCTCTGTGGTTTAACCCACAGCGCCACCCGCGTCCTTACACAAGACACAAGAACAAATTTAAATGCGCAGAAAGCACCAATCCCAATGGTATCTAGTGCCCACTGGGGCTGATAGGGGAAAAGGCAGGCAAGCCAACAGTAGATGGAGACCATAGAGTTCGTCCCACTCCTGCTCATCCTCTCTCCTATCTACTAACAACCAGCACCATCTCCTGAACCAGTTGAAAGAAATGAGGCAGACAGGTGGAGGCTGGCTGAGGGCAGGTTGAGTTTGGTGAGGAAATGCCCCATTGGCCTAAATGGATCAGGATGATTCCCAACTCAGTACTCACCCTGCATCCTTCATTATAAGTCCAGATGCAGAACCATTAATACACATCCATGTTTGATGCCCGAAAAGTCATGCTTCTATGTAGCAAGAAGTGCCTTCCAGCATCTGAGTAGGGCTGGACTGTAGGTGGCTGTGACTAAGGGCTCAGCCAGATTTCCTCTTGTGCCACGTTTCTAGGCACAGGTCCACGCTTTCAAGCACCATGTCCGAACACTTTTTCTCTTGCCCCAGCCCTGGCTGAGCCCTAAGCATATCCAGTGGGGTGGAAGATCAGACACGTGGATTTGAAAAGAAACTTCTAGATAACGATGAGTGGGTTCCTTGGAATAATGAAACTGGGTACTTTCTCTATGACCTTCCTGCAGATGCATCAGTCTGGTCTGATGATTATCTGCTGGAATTAATATAAGCCCAGTGAGTCATTCACTGGGATTTGTTTGCACTTGCCTGCAGAACTCCTATGCCTTGCCTTCAGATCCCAGTGCTGTGCACCTGGGTTAGCTTGAAACAGAATTCCCTGAACAGGCTGCATCTACCCAGCTCAGTGAAGAACTGTGTATATTTATTGGGAGTATGTGACAGCAAAGCGCAAATCCGTGGCTATCTTTTGCATGTTTCATCAGAAGAAGGTTTTTAAAAAACAGGAAAGGCTTCATGATCCTTTGACAGTCCTCACCCCATTGCCACTTCCCTAATTTTAAGTTGTACATTAACTTCTGGACTTCAAATTGAGTTTCCAAGAATGAGAAATATTTATAGCAAACCTACTTCCTCAAAGATTTATTATTTTTTAGACTGCCACTTCCTCTGAACTTCACTATGCAGACACATTATTATTTTTTTGCCTTTGTCCTTCCACTTCACAAAAAAGCCTCAGCAATCTTGCCAAGATATTAATGACATTTCACTGCTTTTCCCCATATATACTTTTAAAAATTAAAATCCAACAACCACAAAACACTCTTTCTTACTAAGCAGCCTCTTCGAGATTTAAAAACAGAATAAAGAACACAAGGAACACTTCAGCAAATTATCAAGCAACACGTTTCTCCAATACTGAGAGGCCTTCTGCATGTTCATCCTATCTATTTTTCCTACCTTCATTTCTTTCATTTTTCTAGCAGTGGAATAATTTGGCAATGCATACAGTTTGCCTGGAATTCAGGTGGCTTATTATTATTGACTCAGCAGCCTGTGTGAAAAGACAAAGAAAAATTGGATCAAATGGCCAGAGTGTTGAGGCAAATAGGCCCCTGAAAAGTGTACAATGGTGACTTCATCGGGAATTCATGGGGAAACAGTGTGGAGTGCAGAAAACTTTTGATACTCCTCTTTTGATCATCCTCTCTAAGAAGTGAAGACCAACAGATCTGTTGAAGGTAGACACTTGGTAAGGAATTGGTGAGGGCAGCTGGCAAACAGGTAGAAAATACTGTTGTGGGCTTGAAGTTGGTGTTTGGGGGTTGTAATGGCTAGGGAAGGAGGGAGAAATTAAATTCAGTTCACATTTCAAGGCAAATTTGCACTTTCTGAAACAGTATGAGAAACAAAACACAGCCATCCTTCAAAATCCACACTTACCTAAATTTTGCAAAGCAGTTCTCCAACCAAGCCATATTTACAAAAATGCACAAATCAGGCTGAGGTGTGAATAAAAATGAACATATTAGTTTAAAACAACATACCAAAATGCATTATATTAAGAAAACTTGCAAAACTGTAAATATTAGTAAAAGATTCCTACCAAACTGTGTTTATCAGGGGAAATTCCCACTAAAATGCTGCTGAATTTTTATGATAAAAAAAGACCAGCAAACAAATCATTGCAGAAATGTGAAGAACTGAACAGAAGAATGGAAAAATGAGAAACTGAGAGATCCACAACTGGCAGACCCTCCCATCCCTAGACCATCAGCCCATGGGCTGGGGTGGGGCTGCCCTCATGAAACACAGTAATTGCTGCTGCTCAGAGGCGTAGCTGGGGGGGCACTGGGTGCCACATCAAAGGGGGCAGCACTTACCACGCCTGAGCCACGCATCTCTCCTGGGACTGACACGGTGACTTGGGCGCCCACAGGCCCTGTACTGAACCAAAAAGCAAGGCAGGTCTGCAGGGCACCGGAATGGAACAGGGCTTGGGCACTGGAATTCTGGCACGCCCTGCCCCACCTTGCGGGCACCTTGTCCCACCCCCACAGGTTCCCTGTCCCACTACGCCACTGCTGCTGCTTATCTGAGCGAGGCTGGGCAGGGGGGTCCTGGGTTGAGGTCCTGGGTTGAGGCCACTTCAGTAGAAGTTGCATCATTGGTTGCCAACCTGCCAACCTCCCTGCTGACTAACAACTTGGTGATTCTTGATTGTAAGAGAGAGGGTGGGCCTCAAACATGTCCAGCAGGCAGATGTAATTTATGGGTTTGCAGAAGGCAAGGATCTCCTAAAATTCCTGGGTGCCAGGTTCTCCCGATGATGATGAAAGGTGGGGCATTCAGTCTCAGAAGGGGGTGTGATGTCACCACAGGAAAAAATGTACCTTTTACACGACACTTGGGCTGCGTTTTTAGCAAGGGCTTTGGGAAAGAAGGGTAGGGCCAGAGGCCACATGGGCTGATGGATGGACAAGCTGTGTTGAAGGAGACACAGAGATGGTGTTTTGGCTGCCTTTGAATCCAATGTTGCACCACTGTGGGAGCAAGCCCCTCTTGAGATGTGGTGCTTGGAACCCTCTCTCCATCCAGACACAGATGTAAATATGTGTGTTGAATAAACCATATTTCATAAAGGCACTACAGCCTCTTCTGCACCTCATTTTTCCCAAAGGAAACATAAACCCTGGCTGAGTGCAAAACCCCCTGGAATTTCACCCCCTGGAATGTTTAAGAAGATTCCACCTAAACATTAGGAAGAACTTCCTGACAGTAAGAGCTGTTCGACAGTGGAATTTGCTGCCAAGGAGTGTGGTGGAGTCTCCTTCTTTGGAGGTCTTTAAGCAGAGGCTTGACAACCATATGTCAGGAGTGCTCTGATGGTGTTTCCTGCTTGGCAGGGGTTTGGACTCGATGGCCCTTGTGGTCTCTTCCAACTCTATGATTCTATGATTCTATGATTCTATGATTCACACCACTCGGTAAAGACTGGGGTGGCCACTAAGAATTGCAACCTGCCCTGGGACCCTGTGATGAAGGGCAGGTAAGAAATCTATTAAAACAGAACAAAAGAAAAGAAAAGTACACTGCGGTGACAAGTTGCCCTGGATCCTCCTGTTGCTAAGGAGATTGGCTATATCAAAGGCTAAAGGAAACAGAAACTCCTCCTAGAAGGGAGAATATCTTTTCTCCTCCATGCCCTCCCTTCTCTAGGCATAAGGTCACCCAGCTGTGTTTGTGAAAAGGGAAGTGAGCTGCAGTTGTTGAGGGTCTACAGAGGCTGAGGGTCAGGGAGATAAGCTGGAGCTCAGAAAGATTTTACCTATGCTGCACCTGTATGTTTGCAAATCAAACCAAATCTTATAAAACACCAACAAGCCTCTAGTGACCTCATTCAAAGAAAAGCGACTCTGAGCAAGCACTGCAGAGGGTGGCTGTTTATTTAGCACCAAAAAACAGGAAACACATTGCCAGGAAGAAGGGTACAGTACTAGAATTTAAATAGAAGTACCATGCACCTCACCATAATAGCAAAGACTGTGAGCAGGTGATGTGGCAGCCTGCTCAGTCTGCTGTCCAGGTGCTGAAGTGTTGATGGGCAACTTCATGGTCCCTGCTCTATCTTTAAACTGGAATTGGATCAGACAGCCCTTCAAAGAGAGAGCTCTGTCTTCAGACAGCCTTTCCAATAGACAACTGTCCTCTGTAAAGCAGGATTAATTGCCACCACTGCATGGCAGTGTGGTGCTGAGCCATATTACTGTATTGTAGCAAGCCAGCTCAGGCCCATCCTATCTCTATGAGTTCACAGGGTGAAAAAGAGAATGAACAAAGGAGGGAACTTAACTGCCTAGGGCATCTAGGAACATAATTCTATGGTCTTAACCCCTTCATGCATTAACTAGCGCTAAGATTGCTAGCTATATTTGACTGCAATTTCCCACACAAATTGCCACCCCTCGGCTGCCTTTCTTGTAGGGAAAGTGAGGTGCTAAATACAGCCCTTTAATTGCTAAATTGCTCTCATCCTGTAGCAATTCCTTTGTACTGGACATAATTGCTCCCAAACATGGGGGGAGGGGAATGGCACAGGTTCCTATTTGTGGGAATGTTCTGGGGTGCAGGAGAGGATATATTGTGGGATTATATCCTTATCCAACTTGTGCTAACAAGTTCCCAAAATATCAGCAGAATTTATAGACATTCCCCTTTAAGTTCGCAACGGTAACGCTTGCACAGGTTCGCTCGAACCTCTATAATAATTACTCTGGTAATTTCCCCTTTTGTTCCCTCTTAAAATACAAGACACGACACAGTCTTTATAAAAGTATAAAAGAGTTTACTCACGTTCTGTTCACAATATGATCCCAGAAGGCAGACAGCTTAAAAAGGTTACATACATTCAGAATCTATCTTGTAGCAAGATAGTCCTTATCTCCTCTCTTGGCTGGGAGCCAAGAGGCATCCTTAGATGTTTCCTCATCGAAGGAAAATGGCAGAGAGAGAGAGTGGCTGCCTGCCCTGTGCTTTTGTCATTACCTGCACAGGTGAGGCCACACCCACCTCTGTTCACATGCGGAGGAAGTCCGTCCCCAGGAAGTTTACCTGCTTGCTGGACTGACATCCCTCCCCATGTTCTAACATGTACACTCTAGGAATGTTGTCATTGACTGCTCCTGTGTTTACATCCCACACTATTAGCAACAGGCCCCTGCTGTTTGTCCTGCCTGGTGGGAAGTATACATATACTCTTTCTAGGAAGGGAAAGAAAAGTTTTGCATGCTATGCAGGCAATGAAAGCTGGATCACAGCAACGTAATGTTCTTTTCTCATCGCTCATCTCCATTTCTACATTTACCTTGGGAGTGATTTTCAAAAAAATACTGAAGAGAGACAAACAACAGCATTTAAAAAAAAATATAGAAGCTGGTGGAGCGTCAGAATGTACAGGCCTCCAGTGGTGATGATAACACTCCAATCAGTTCCTATTACAAAAGCTACTTTAGGCGATATGCCTTGGAGTATAATAGCTCTTCATAAAGCTTCTGCTATTTGTGACTACCGGCAAAACAAATTATTATTTATACAGAACAATCAGCAGGCATGACACTTTTCAGCTGTATAACGTAAGCAATAGAGAGGTCCTTACTAGAAACGAGCAAATTTTTCTCTTTTTTTTTTTATAAGATATTTATTAAGGTTTTTTGAAATATTACAGTAAAAATGAAAAAGAAAAAAGAAAAATACAAAATAAAAACAGTTAAAAACACACATATTTTCTATTACTTATTTTCCTTTAGCTTGTTTCCCGGACCTCCTCATACCTCCCTTTTTTGTATTCCACTTCAATTTATTGGTTCAGCAAATCCTTACCATTAGATTTTAACCCATTTATAACCCTTTTTTCATATTCTCTTAGAGCATTACAGCTAGAAACCGCTTAATTGCTATCCAACATCATTCTATCATTCATTAATTTTACAATATTTCTGTAAATAGTCTTTAAATTTCTTCCAATCTTCTTCCACCGACTCTTCTTCCTGGTCTCGGATTCTGCCAGTCATTTCCGCCAATTCCATGTAGTCAATCACCTTCATCTGCCATTCTTCCAAAGTGGGTAGATCTTGTGTCTTCCAATACTTTGCAATGAGTATTCTTGCTGCTGTTGTAGCGTACATAAAAAAAGTTCTGTCCTTCTTTGGCACCAATTGGCCGACAATGCCTAGAAGAAAGGCCTCTGGTTTCTTCAAGAAGGTATATTTAAATACCTTTTTCAGTTCATTATATATCATTTCCCAGAAAGCCTTAATCCTTGGGCACGTCCACCAAAGGTGAAAGAATGTACCTTCAGTTTCTTTACATTTCCAGCATTTATTATCGGGCAAATGATAGATTTTTGCAAGCTTGACTGGGGTCATGTTCCACCTGTATATCATTTTCATAATATTCTCTCTTAAGGCATTACATGCCGTAAACTTCATACCTGTGGTCCATAACTGTTCCCAGTCAGCAAACATAATATTATGTCCAACATCTTGTGCCCATTTAATCATAGCAGATTTCACCGTTTCATCCTGAGTATTCCATTTCAACAGCAAGTTATACATTCTTGACAAATTCTTAGTTTTGGGTTCTAACAGTTCTGTTTCTAGTTTTGATTTTTCCACCTGGAAGCCAATTTTCTTATCCAAATTATATGCCTCCATTATCTGATAATAATGAAGCCAATCTCTCACTTTGTTTTTAGTTTCTCGAAACTCTGCAATTTCAATTTGTCTCCTTCTTGTTCCAAAATTTCCCAATATTTCGGCCATTTGGCCTCCATATTGAGCCTTTTCAGAGCTTTCGCTTCCATCGGTGACAACCACCTTGGGGTTTTATTTTCCAATAAATCCTTGTATCTTATCCAAACATTAAACAGTGCTTTCCTGACAATATGATTTTTAAATGCTTTATGTGCTTTGACCTTATCATACCATAAATATGCATTCCATCCAAATACGTTGTTGAAACCTTCTAAATCCAAAATGTCTGTATTTTCAAGAAGTAGCCATTCTTTCAACCA